TCTTGGTCATGTCCCCAATTCTAAAGTTGGCCCCTCTCAAGCCACGTGACTATGAATACGACAATGGCTCCCCAAAGGAAAATCAGAAAAAAGAGGTTACCAGGCAGGAAAACCCAGCAGACATTCACTACACCTACACTAAGCAAATCATTACTCAAATGTAGTGCTCATGAATTAAAAACAGAAAGTTACTGTACTGTACTGAGCACTCTATTTTAGTATTCCACCTAGAAGCCTGGGTGACAAACAATACAGCACAGCATTGCACACCAGTGTACATCGATACTCTACATTTCCATAATTTCCTAGAGGAACATTTTGTCTTCGTGTTATCTTGAATCGGCCATGGTTTTCAACTGCTGTTCTTTTTGCTTAGCTAATGATAAATTGCTGTTGGGCTCGTTATTAGCAATTTAATTTGTTGTGGGTTGTTTGGCAAATCCTACAGTGTTTAATAATACTCATTTGCATCGGCAGTATTTTTGGCCTATAATTGTTCAATAAATAGACTTTCAGTCATGTATGCATTGGGTGAAAATAGGAATCATCTGTACTCTCCCTGCTAAAGCAGATGTACCCACAATTTCCCAACTTTCAGAATACTTTTAGGATGACATTCCATTTTTAATCGCCTAGTTGTTTTTCTGCAGGAAAGTAGGAACAGGTGGGGTCTTGATCCCTTCTTAATTGGGTTGGGGACAAAAGAAATTTAGAGCTGATGGCTTAGAGAACTTTGCATAGGCCAATTTTAATACATCGAAAAGTTTACGTGCTAGAGATTAGCAGAGTACATGTTTTAAAAACTGGTCTTAAATTGTGGAGGGTCTTGAAAACTTAACCTAGAACAAAGGTTGGCAAATTTCTTCCATTAAGGACCAGAGAGTAAATATTTTTGACTTTGCAGGCTGGATGATCTCTGTCACAATGACTCAACTCTGATGTCGTAGCACAGAAACAGCCGTAGGCAATACATACATGAATGGGCATGGCAGTGTTCAAAAAAAAAAACCCTTAATTACAAAAACAAGCAGCCAACCCTATTTGGCCCGAGGGCCATAATTTGTCAACCCCTGGTTTAGACATTTGGATTTCCTTCTACTGAACCATTGAGGATGCTACAGATATAAATTTCAGTCCCCAATTTAAATACTTAAGAGATGTGACCTTATTTTTCTGTTACTGAATTTCACTGGTAGTTTAAATCCCATTCCCCAGGGGTGCTGGAAACTTCATCTTAGCTGATTTCGGGTGATTCTTTCCTTTTCCTTAGAGCCTCGGTGCTGCATCCCCGGGGCTTGGGTAGTGTGCGGGATCTGGGAGGCAGAAGGGTCGGATAAGTTGCCAAGTCGTTGTCTCTCCATGATGTTCCCACTGAGACGTTCCTCATCATTGCCATCCTTGGTTATTGGCTGCCATGGGTTGAATTATGTGCCCTCCCAAAAATATGTGTTTCAGCCCTAACCTCCGGTACCTCAAAATATGACCTTATTAGGGTGGTTACAGATGTAATGTGTTAAGATGAGGTTATACTGGAGTATGGCAGGCCCTTATTCCAATATAACTAGTGTCCTCTAAAGAAAAGGAGAAGAGGCTGGGCGCGGTGGCTCACACCTGTAATCCTAGCACTTTGGGAGGCTGAGGCAGTAGTAAGCTAAGGAGTAAGGACCAGCTTGAGGTAAGGAGTTCACAACCAGCCTGAGCAAGAGCAAGATCTCTGTCTCTACAAAAAAAAAAAAAAAAAAAGAAAAATTAGCTGGGCATCATGGCTCACATCTGTAGTCCCAACTACTCAGGAGGCTGAAGCAGAAGGATCGCTTGAGCCCAGGAGTTGGAGGTTGCAGTGAGCTATGATGATGCCACTGCAACTGAGCCCTGGGAACAGAGCGAGACCCTGCCTCAAAGAAAAAAAAAAGGAAAGGAGAAGAGACACAGATACACAAGGGAGAGAACGCCATGCAACAGGGCAGAGATTGGGGTGTTGCAGCTGCAAGCTAAGGAATGCCAAGGTGGACTGCCGGCAAATCATCAGAAACTAGGAAGAGGCAAAGGAAGAATCTTCCCTACAGGTTTAGAAAACATGGCCCTGCAACATCTTGATTTCAGACTTCTAGCCTCCAGAATTCTGAGATAATACATTATGTTGTTTTAAGTACTCGGTTTGTGTTACTTGGTTAAGGCAACTCTCAGAAATGAACACATCGGCCGATGCTAGTCACTGCTAGCTCCACTCTTGTTCTCACCTCTTCAGATCCACTGGATCTCTGAGCCACAACCTTTGTCCTGAGTCCGTTTCCTTCTCTTTCCAAAGTAACAACATGGTAGCCAGGGACACAGCTGCCCAGCTCGACATGTCCCAGCCTCCTTTGCAGTTAGGTGGAGTCGCATGACTGGGTTCTCAGGAGGGGAGGGTGAGAGGAAGTGACATATCCCACTTCCTGGTTTGAGTTTTATGACATCACAAACACTTTCTACATAGTCTCCTCCCCCTTCCTGTTGGCCGGAACAGAGACTTAGTGAGGATCCGGCACTGACCAGGCGGACAAGGCCATGCTGCTGGATGGGAGGTTGGAAACATGGCTGCACATTAGAGCTTCCTGGGAAATTTTAATAACCTACCCAGGTCCCACCCTAGAAAAATTAAATCAGAATCTCTGAGGGTGGGGCCCAGGCACCAGTATTTTCTTTTCTGAGACAGGGTCTTGCTCTGTTGCCCAGACTGGAGCACAGCGGCATCATCGTAGTTCACAACAACCTCAAACTCCTGCGCTCAAGCGATCCTCCTGCCTCGGCCACCTGAGTAGCAGGGACTACAGACGCACCGCCACACCCAGCTAATTTTTTCTAATTTTTTTAGAGATGGGGTCTCACTCTTGTTCAGGCTGGCCTTGAACTCCTGGTCTCAAGCAATCCTCCTGCCTCGGCCTCCCAAAAGAGGTAGGTAGGATTAGGACAGTATACCAATTTAGTCAGGTATACCATCCTCTATTCTTTATGAATTTTATTAGCAATTCTGTTAAAATGTCACATTTTGTATGTTCAATATGCCTTTGAAAATGTTAAGTGCAGGATATATTAAGTACGGACATCAATGAATTTAAGACTTGAAAAGACTGTACAGATCATTTTTTATTTGGCTCCTTTGTTAGAAAGGTGAGAAAACTGAGATTTCATTCATCCATTTATCAGTCATTTAATACATGCTTATTGGGTAGCAACAAGGGTTCACTCTTACTGAGAGCTAACTGTATCAGGCACTGTTGTAGGCCTTTTGCAGGTATTTACTTATGAAACCCTCAAACATCCTTATGATGTTGGCACCGTTGGTTACCCCATTTTATGGATGGGGAGTCCAAGACACAGAAAAGTAAAGTTCATGTTTCTAGTGAGTGGCAGAGAAAGGATTCAATGCTAGATCAGCTCATAATAAAAAAAAAAAAGTCACCAAACCCATGACAAGCCACTTTGACCAAAACACAGAAGAAATAATCAACAGGAGATTTAAACCCCCTTCCAAGGTCTGAAGATACTGAAATTGTCAGATACAAATGACTGAAGAAATTAAGGCTGCAGTCGCAAAGGTGATGAAATGACAAGAAACTTTGGGAAACAAATAGAAAGGTTTTTTAAGTAGAACTTATCAAAGTGAAAAATATAATTGCTGAAATAAAAACTCAGCTGATAAAAATAGTAAACACAACCCAAGAAGAAATGAATAAGCTGGAAGACATAGCTGAAAAAATAACCCTGAACGTAACACAAAGAGACAAGAGGCATAAAATACGAGACAGTAAGAGATGATGAGTGAGATGATTAAACTCAAGGCACATCTCATCAAGGACCCAGAAGGATTAAGCAGAGAAAATAGAGGAAAAGCAAAATCTGAAGAGATAAGAACTGAAAATTTTCTAAAACTGCTGACAAACTTAAGTCCACAGATTCAAGAAGCATAGTATGTGGCAAGCAGGATAAATAAAGAGAGACATACGCTTAGGCACATCTTGACGAAACTGTAAACACCAAAGACAAGAGAGAAAATCTCAAAAGCAGTCAGCAAGAAATTATGCATCATCTGCAAAGGAATGACAATTTTTAAAACAATTTTTAGATATTGCAGTGAATGCAAAGAATGACAATTTCACCACAGGCGACCTTCCAATGGTAATAATGGAAGACAGAAGGCATTGAAATGATCTCTTGACAGAGTTGGAGCAAAGGCCATTCTCCCCTAAAGACCCTTGGCACCTTTGGTGCCATAAGGGACGAGGAAGGTCACCGTTGAGGACCACTGGGCCCTCGCATCCTAAAGAGCAAGGCGCCCACGGAAAGCACTGCGAATAGAGAAGGCAGCAAGGTGGGAAAGCTTTGTCCTGGACACAAATAAAATATCCCCTCATAATTCTGCAACATAATGTTGGAAACCTGCAGAGAGGACGTGTCGAGGTCCTCCATGTGGAAAATAACGAGCTATGGAAATTCAGGCATTCATGTTAATGTGGCCTCATTTGTATTCACAGTCTAATTGGGACTGGACGTTTTTGCTTCTGAGGTCTACTTACTGACCAATAGACTCTAAATTTTGTTTACAAACTCTGACTCAGGTTAAGAACTGACTCCATTTCCCTGAAATATACTCTAATGCTCAGATAGTAAGTGAATGTATTAGCCTATAAACAAGACTCTGAAGCAAAGACCTCAAGATATTGAACAATGAGACTCAAGAAAACAATGGCTCAAATAGCAAACAAAGTTAAATTCTCTTGCACCTAAGAATCCAGAAGGAGGTTGATGGTCCCACACAGGTAGGTGACTCTACTGCACAAGGTTATCCAGGGACCCAGCTTTCTATCTCATTGCTCCTCCTCCTGAGCATGTCTTCAACCACATGCCCAACCTGGCTCTCCGCCATGTCCTTATTCCAGCCATCAAGAAGGGGGAAAGAGATTCCGGAAGTTCCTGTCTGAGATAGCGTGCAGGTCATGTGGTCTTTGTGAGAGTCTACCATGGTGTACCATGGCCAGGGCCAGAAAGTGCAGAAGGTAATGGTGCAGCCCATCAAACACATCTTCAGATACTTGCAAAATAGATCCCGGATTCAGGTGCGGCTCTGTCAGCAAGTGACTATGCGGATAGAGGGTTGTATCACTGGTTTCAATGAGTATATGAACCTTGTATTGGATGATGCAGAAGAGATTCATTGTAAAACAAAGTCAAGAAAACAACTGGGTGGGATCATGCCCAAAGGAGATAATGTCACTCTGCTACAGAGTGTCTCCAACTAGACACGGTTAATGAAGTGAAAAATTGTTGAGATGGCAATACAGTGCTTTAAGGTGTACTTTGTTGGGAGTAGAGTTCTAAAACATGTGTTCATGTTGCTTTTATTACCCTTATGTTATTTCAAAATGACAACAAAAGCTGTGGGATTATTTTTATTTAAAAAAAAGAGAGGGTAAAAAGGAAAAGTGAGGGCAAGTATTTTCTTTTAAAGAAGCAACACAAAAGTTACATTATTATTTCCACTTACAGTCTATTGCTGAGAGCTTGGTCACAGGGACTTGCATAGCTGCAAGAGAAGCTGAGAAGTACAGTCTCCAACTGAGCAGCCATGTGCCCCGCTGACACTCAAGGAAGTTCTATTGCCAAAAGTATGAAAGGGAGAGAGAGTCCTGGGACAGATGGCAATGCCTGCCCTGCAGGGCAGGATGTAGACAAAGCATGCTGAGATTAACTCACCATTATTTTCAAATACTAGTCATAATAATAGCTAACATTTACATATGATGTGCCAAGCACTAGTCTAAGTACTTTACTTGTATTAACTCATTTAATCCTCGACTCTAAGAGGTAGTTACTATATTAATCCCATTTTGTAAATGAGAAAATAAAGACATAGAAAGACTATGTGATATACATTTACCAAATGGTACAACTAGAGCTAAAACTCTGTAGCCAAAGTCTTATGAAAATTCATTTCCAAATGATGACTTTGCATTTACCTATAAAGTGATTATTTGAGAGAATGTAAAAGACATTTCTAGGGCTGTGAGCAAGAAAGCTAGCAAAGCAACTGATTTCCAGTTTAGTACAAAGAAGAAAACTATTTACTGAATAGAGGGAAAAAAACCCACCTCCCTGCTTCATCTCCAAAAGCAAATGCTTTGAGAATATAATCCATTTGCCCCTAGGACAAAGTCAGAGCAATTTCAGTCTCAGGATTTAATCTCACTGCCAAATATGAGTTCAATTGCTAACGCCCCTTGGCTAGAAATCTTCAGAATCCAGAGAATGGTCCTTTCTGATCCCTAATGTACAGATGTTGGGAGCAAACATTTGTCCCCTGGGAATCTTGACGGGGAAAAATTTTAAAAAAACTTGCCACCAAGCTACTTTGGGAATTAAGATCATTAAAGACTAACAGCAGTTGTTAGGTACTTAGCAAATGTAGCTAATCAGCCTCACACACATGGGAAGTATCTAAATACACTGCTGGTGCTAAATCCCAGTCCAACTGCAGTGATATCTGTTCCCTTCTGACCAGGTAATTAGAAAGAGCAGGATAATCACTTTAGCCAAATAGCAGAGGCAGTGATGTATCATGCCTGTCTGCAAGCTGTGCAGCGGGATCAAGGTTGAAGGTACCTCTAGGCTGAGAACTATCCCAGTAAAAGCGATGTATCCCAGAAGCTAAAATTCACTGAACCAGCCTCTGTTAGAAGCACCTGACCCAGGAGCAGTGGGGACTTCTAGAGTGGGCACAAGGATGCCCAGTTGGAGGCTACATCTCCCAACCTCTCTTGGAGCCGGGTGCAGCCAGATGAGTAAGGTCTTGCCAATGAAATGTGCGCCAAAGTGACGAGCTGCTTGCCCAAGAACCAGAATGTAGACGTTCCCGCGACCCAGTCTCAATCTATCAGATGAAGACAGTGCATCAGATGAGAAGAAACAGTATCCCCCGATGACTGTGTCTGGAACAGCTGTGGTCCTGCCAACCTCGAAGGCTCATGGCCGACTATTACGTGAGAGAGAAGTAATCATTTGTCCTCCACAAGCCACTGCAATCGGGGGCGGTGGTGCTCTTTGTTACAGCAGCCTACCCTTTCTCCTAATATCATAGTCTGGCTCATTAAATCCTCACAACAATCCAATGAGTTGGTTACTATTATTATTCCCATTTCACAAACAAGGTAACTGAGACTCAGAGAAGCTTAAATATTTTGCCCCAAACCAACAAGTAGTGCAAACAGAATTGGAAGTCAGGTTTTTTATGTTCCAAAGCCCCTGGACAAAGTTTTGATACAGTAAGTCCTGGGGAGAGGCTGAAATTCTGCATTTCTACAAAGTCTCCAAGTAAGGCTTCTGCTATTAGGCCACAAATCACAATTTTAGGAACAAGGATCACTCCCTTGCCTCCCTCAAGTGTTAGAGGCTAACCGCCCAGATTACCAAGTTATAGTCTCAGATCTTTAAATCACAGTGAATAGCTTCTTAAAATGTTTTCCCCTTTCTGTACTGTTCCCTTCTCCTGGAAATTAGTTGGAGTCATATATTCAGGGGTTTTTTTAATGAGCAAATTCTCTTTCAAGCGTCGGGTTTCTCCTGGGAAGGTGTCATGCTGCAAAGAGCAGTTTCCGTGAAGTTGTGAAATCTGATGCCACTTTCTGGAGATTCTCTGACAGCTGTCTCACCCTCTGTCTTTCCTTACTGTGGCTCTGTAACCCAAAATAACATTCATTGAGGCTGCTTGGGAAAGGTGACATGTCATTCTGTGCTCATCTCAACAGGAAACATCGACTACATTAAGGTAACAACACCCTCAGCCTGGAGGGATATTTTAATCAACAGCAAAAACTGTTTCAGCACCCAAAAAACACTTGGGGAAATGTATCCTTGTTGCAAACCCAACTTCAGCCTGAAAAAGTGTCACATTCTAAAAGTAAGCCAAATTCAGTTCACCAAAGAGAAATGCAAATGGCCAGTAAGAATACAAATAATGTTTAACATTACTGGTAAATAAATGAAGTTGAAACAAGGTACCATTCTTCACCTTGAAAATTGGCAAAAACTAAACACCCAGTGCTGTTGTTGATGAGGGGAGATGGGCACTCGGATTTACTGTGAGGGAGAATGTGTACTGGGACCCATGTGGTGATGGGGACAGTATCCCAATTCAAAATAGCTTAATCAAAAAGGGAAGGGGAAGAGGGAAGGGAATTTATCCACTGGTGACTCTGGGATGTCCAAGGATGAATCTGGCTCCAAACATGGCTGGAATTAGGGCTGCCAAAGATGCCATCAGTACTCGCATTCTCTCTCCATCTCTCAGTTCTGCCACCCATTGGGTGAGAACCTCCCTCTCTCCCATAACCTCACCGTGAGAGGTAGAGTAGATAGTATTGTATTTTTAGAAATTTGGTACATTCAGTACAACTCTTAGGTCTGGTGGAGGGTAAACAGGTGGCAAGGGAGTGGCTAAGAGTGGAGAGTGGGATCCGAGTTGTAGCTAAGAACCAGACTGGGGCTAGGAACTCTTCCTTGGTGGGAACATACATGTAGAAAGTTCCCAGTAACATTTAACTGACCTGGAGCTAATTACCATGTAATTAGCATAACATGGGTGGAGCTTCATGGAGAATTTTAGAAAAGACGCATGCGCAGAAAGGGAAACTGTTATGTAATCTACGCTGTTATGTGACCTGTCATGTGATCCCTTAGATAACACCAACCTGTCAATCGCCCCCAAAGGCAGGAAACGGCAACCACTCCTGCCAGGGGAAAGGCGGGACAAACTAGTGGGCTTATAAAAGGCAACATGTGCTCAGCCTCCAGCATCTGTATCCACTTCGACCCGTTCCACTCTCTCTGGAACGTATTTTCTCTTTGTGCAGCTTCCTTCTGTACTTTCATTCTTTCTTTTATGTGATAAACTATATAAAATTGCTCTGTGTTTGTGATCACTCCATCATCAGCTCAACCTGGTACCAGTAACTCATTCTTCACCCTGGGAATGAGGGGACCAGGAACAGTCACATAGACGAACCTAACAAAACTACACTCTTGGCATGTGACTGTGCGGTGCCCTCCCGCTGTGGGTGGGGTGTATTTCCCCATCACATGGATTCTGGGCTTTGGCACGTGGGATGTCAGCAGATGTGAACAGATGTAAATGTGCCTGCGTGATTTAGTTTAGCTCTTGCACTCCATTATTCTGCGAAGAGAGGAACATGCCCCGGGGAATGAGTTGCTTTGTGTTTATCCCAGGAATTAACAAACGTGGAGCAGAATAACCCATCCTTCCACTTGGCATGAACTGAGCCCAACCAATCCACAGCCAGAAGTCACTCATTCAAGTCCTGAAACAGTTTTCCAAAGCAGTTGTACCAATATGCACTCCACATTTCCCCAACACTTAGTATTTATTGTCAGTATATTTTTTTAATTTCAAAGTATCAAGGGGGTAAAAAAGTTTTTGTTACATGGTACCACAGAGTAGTGTCAGTCCTTTTAATAGCAGCCATTGTGATGGAGATATGGTTAATTTGTATTTCTCTAATCAGTAATGGTGTTGGGTACCTTATTGTATACTTATGGATCACTTTTTCATCTTTGTTTTCCGAAGTGCCTGTTTGAGTCTTTTGCACATTTTGTTATTCATTCATCTGGTTTATTGACTTGTGGGAGTTCTTTATATATTCTGAATACTAGTCCTTTGAGACTATATGTAATGCAAATATCTTCTCCCAGTCCTTGGTTTGACTTTTCACTCTCTAATGGGGTCTTTGAGGAAGAAAAGTTCTTAATTTTAATAAAGCCTAATTTATCAGTGTTTTCTTTTATGGTTAGTGTTTTTGGGGATCTGATTCAACTTCTCATTCAAGCCAAATAATATCCCTTCTCACTGAAACTCACAAAAGCACATTCAAATTTTAGGGTAATTCTATTAGCAAAATTTCAAAAACTTAAGAAGTGTTTATTAATTTTGTCTGAAAAATGAAGGAGAAAGACATTTTTCTGTTATTATTTCTCTGTAATGAGGGACAATATAAGAGTTTACAACTTTTATATTAAGGTTACCTTGCTAAGAGATTTTCAAAGGTAATTTGATGGGCAGGCGGGAGGGGGAGGAGGGGATGGGTAAATTCACACCTAATGGGTGCAGTGCATGCTGTCTGGGGGATGAGGATGCTTGTAGCTTTAACTCGGATGGTGCAAAGGCAATCTATGTGGCCAAAGCATTTGTACCCCCATAATATTCTGAAATTTCAAAAAAGGGCAATTTGAG